ACAGCTTTTTCATGTAACAATCCTGAGCGGTGCTAATAAGCGGCATTCTGCCTAAGTCAGGCTTGAAAATGTACCTAATACACTTGCTAAAGGTTACGAAGCTTTCTGTGAAAAATATCTGCCCTTCAGTCATGCCCTCCCAAGAGGGTGGACATTTATTCACATTTTTGTTGGATGATTTGCTTCATCAGTTGTCCTCTCTCAAATGAGAAGAGGTGGAGGTTATAGAAGGCCAGCCCTCACTGTGGCTGTTGGGCAGCACAGCTGAGAAAATAAGCTGTTGGGACAAACTGTGTGCATCCAAGAACGTGGATGGCTTTTCCAGATATCCTGATCGCTTGCTCCCCAGTGAGTCACTGTCACCTTGGATCGCCAGCTGCTGTTACTAAGATAACGTTAGGTTCCAAAACAATTACTGAAGATGTGTCTCTCTTTGTAGTGCCTGCAGGTAACTGTGAGGAGATGATCCATACTGAAGCTCCCCTTTATCAGTTCCATTGGCATGGTCTGGAGATTGGTGAGCTTGAGTCTCTTCTTGCTGCTTGCTCTCTGCTGTTCAGGAGGGTTTAAGCTTTTCACCTGAAACATAAAATGTTTTCCTTACATAGGTAACTTGTATGAGGTTTAATGGAGCATTTTTGTTCCTGTAGTCATGATTCGTTATAAAAGCCATTAGGAGAACTGTGTAGTTGAAAAGCAGTGCTACTCTCACCTTGTAATTGTATGGGTACGCTGTCAAAGCCAGCAGCTCAGAAGCTGGTGTTAAGTCTTCTGTCCAAGTGAGTTAGCATTGAATCAATCATTGCTTTTCCTTCAAAAGGGGTGCTCAGGTCCCCAGATTGTCTCAGATCATTTTCCTGGGACTTTCCTCCTTAAACAGAGAGGGAGTAAATTCTGGAAGATGTTGGCTCTGTGTGTGGTACAGTCTTCGTAACAGGAGACGCTGTGCCATCATCCAGTGGGGGAGAAGGCTTTGGCGGGAGAACAAATTTCTTCAGCTGGGGTTTATCCGGGTATCAGCTGCGTGCTCAACTAACAGAACAAAGGGAGGATGTGGTCTGAACTTGAAAACGGGGTTTGAGCGAAGTGCAAGGGTGACAAAGGATGCAAACACTCCTCCGAGTGGTTTGGATTTGGTGGTATAGGGCTGCAATGGCCACCGTTAGCAGCAAGCTGTCTAGGAACTGTGGGCTGGAGAGTTGTTTGAAGTGCTGGCCCTGTAATGAAGCCACTGCTGATGAAGGATAATGAGCAGCTTATAAATACACGTGTAATGTGAAAGCAGCGCGAGTGGGCAGGGGTGTGTTGCGCACCAAACCAGGAACCAAGATGGCCTGTTGTTCAGGTACTGCTTACTGCGCAGGGGTAACCCTGTTCAGGGTAGCTCTGGTTTGGGAAGCGCAAGTCTCGGGTCTGCTGTGGTCAGCGTAGGACGCTGAAAGGGGGAGGTAAACCAGAAAACTCCTGTTTTCAGGCTAAAGCTTGGCCACAGCGTTAACCACTGTGCTGTTTGGCACACTGAGAATTGGAACGTGCCAATGACTTAACACAAACACATGAGAAACGCCTGGGTCAGGTTCTGATTCAGTGCCAGAAGATAGTGGGGAGCACTAGGTGGGAAGCCCCACTTACCCGTTGTCCTGCTTCTGTCCAAAGGGACCTTGATTCAGCCAGCAGTGTGGAACATTCAGGGGACATTTGCTGCAGCTGAGGGAATGCCCTGACTTACAGGAAGAGGGAGCTTAGACAAAAATACGATAAAAACTGAGAATTTTTAAATGGCTTACAAGTATAAATGCAAATGAAAGGACATTAAAAACTAACCTTGGAAGAGAAGGAATAAGGGCAGTAACTGTGCAATATTTAATAACCGAAGGAGGGAAATAAAAGAATCAGTAGAAGCTACAAATTACAAAGTACAAAAATGAAGCCAGTGGGAACAAAGCCTGTAAGTGACAAGGCTAGAAGCATAAGCAGCTCTTTTTAGAATGCCTTTTGTTTTTGATATAATTGAACATGGCACACGTCCATTACCAACTGCAGATAGCAGAATTGTTTGTAATGAGAGGAGGGGGAAGTGTTCTGTAAATATTTATTCTCTGTTGGTGCTGGTGTCATATGGGGATGATGTACTTCCTAGGCAAACAGCAAGGAGGATTTTAAATAGTGTCTATTGGGGCGAAGGCTTTTTTGAACAGCAGTCTTCAGTAAATGGTGTTTGCTGTCCTGTGAAGGCCACCCGAAGGCATCTTGTGGTCTGCTCTCTGTCAGGCTCTGGACTGCTAGGGAAAGCCTACATGGCTGGAAAAGAGCCAGCTCTGTGCTGGTCCTTAACGATGTCAAGAAGCCTGCCATAGTCCAGATGTGAAATACTGAAACAGCAGAGAAGTTAATTGCTTCTCTCTAAAACAAGCAAGAAATCCAGGTCAACAAAGTAAAATGAGTGTGACTGGAAGTAGCAAAAAAAAGTCAGTCAAAAATTACTTGATTGGATTTTTTATTATTATTTTTTAAAGATCACTGTTAGTAGTTACTTGTATCACTGTAGTGGTGGGGATCAGAAAAGTTTACTTCTCGTGGAATTGAAGTGCTTCAAGAGGGAGTACACTAAGTTAAAGTAATCATGAACTCCTTTAAAGAACTGGCTAGCTTGCAGTTTTCCTAGAACAGCTGTCAGTGCAACATAAACACTTTCTAAAATGGAGCTGGAGAAATTGCCCTTTTGGAGTGTTTGGAAATAACCTAGTTGAGGAGTAAAGTCAAGTCTCAGTTTCAGGAAGCTGGAGCCATACAGCACGACAAGAGGCAAGAATTTTGCCAGCCTCTTTAAGCCCATTTATTAATAATAATTGGTCATGCACACAAATGACCGGTTTATCTTGTCCAGCTGTGATTGCCCCAATTGTGGGTGTCATTCCTAGGCAGCTGGGCAAGCGTCGTTGATGAGGCTGTTCAGCAAAGTATTCCCCTTTCCAGCAAGCAGACGTGCTCGGCAAGCTGCCGTCCCCCGGGCTCTGCCACCACCGCGTCCGCTGTGTGATATGCACAGAAACCTTCCCAGCCACAACCATTGCCTTCCACCAGTGGAACCACCTTCTTTGTCTGTTACAAACATAGCAAGCAGTTAAACTAGCCCCATAGCTCAGCAACATTCAGCCTTTCATTAAGCGCTCTTAAGGTATTATTTTCCTAACTGTGCACTCAGAACCGTGTGGTAGACAGTCTCTTACTGTCTGTTAAACAGGCTGTGTAAGGCTTCTGTGCTTAAGCAGGCTATTCGAGGCTCAATTGTAGAGTGTGTTTCAGAGATACTCAGATTATCAGGGATCTGTTCTTATGAGAGAATTACTGCATGTAAATACGCGTCTTAGAATTGGAAGCACTGATTGGAAGGTACGCCTGGGGGTCATCTGGTTCAGCTTCCCCTTCAAAGCAGGGCTGCTGTTGGTCCTAAATCAGGTCAGATACATGCTGGGTAGCAAGATGCTCTGTGGCGGAGCAAGCTAGGATAAGAAGCAGCGGTTGCATGGCTCTGGGTGAAAGGTGATGTTGCTGAAGATCCTAAGGCTCGATTCAAATGCTGGCCAAATCAGTCCAGAGATCTCAAGTCAGCAGCAGAGAAGAAAAACATTCTCAAGAGATAACTTGCTTATTCTGGCTGAAAATAAGACCATGTCATACCAGGAAGTTTCTCATTGGAGGTATGCAGATATACATTGTCAAGGAGTGGTAGTTACAGATGACAGAAGGGTTTCTCCCCTCTGACATCTTCGGCGCTTCCTCCAAGTCCCAGAAAGGAGGGAGACAAAGGACATCTAGTCATTCACTTGGCTAAGTGAAGTTTTAGCTAAAGCACAGCAGGACATTGAGGCAACTGAGCCTAGACCACGGTGCAACCACAGTGAACAGTCTTGTGCGAACTGGCCACAGGAATACAGAATCACAGAATGTTAGGGGTTGGAAGGGACCTTGAAAGATCTAGTCTAGCCCCCCTGCCAGGGCAGGACCACCTAGAGTAGGTCACATAGGAACATGTCCAGGCAGGTTTTGAATGTCTCCAGAGAAGGAGTCTCCACAACCTCTCTGGGCAGCCTGTTCCAGTGCTCTGCCACCTTCACAGTGAAAAAGTTTTTCCTTATGTTTACGTGGAACCTCCTGTGCTCCAGCTGGCACCTGTTGGCCCTTGTCTTGTCATTGGCCATCACCCAGAACAGCCCGGCTCCATCCTCCTGACACTCACCCTTTATGTATTTATAAACATTGATGAGGTCACCCCTCAGTCTCCCCTTCCCCAAGCTAAAGAGACCCAGCTCCCTCAGCCTTTCATCATAAGGGAGATGTTCCACCCCCTTCATCATCTTTGTGGCTCTGCGCTGGACTCTTTCAAGCAGTTCCCTGTCCTTCTTGAACTGAGGGGCCCAGAACTGAACACACTATTCTAGATGGGGTCTCACCGGGGCAGAGTAGAGGGGGAGGAGAACCTCTCTCGACCTACTGACCACAGCCCTTCTAACACACCCCAGGATGCCATTGGCCTTCTCGGCCACGAGGGCACATTGCTGATTCATGGCCATTCTGCTGCCCACCAGGACCCCCAGGTCCCTTTCCCCTGCACTACTCTCTAACAGCTCGGTCCCCAGCCTAGACTGGTACCTGGGGAATGCTGATGTTTCATATCTCCTGGAGCGAGGCAAGGCACAGCGGTCATGTACCAAGCACTCATTGGTAGGTCGTCTAATGTAGTGTGATTATCCGGA